CTTCCTCCTGCTCTTTCCCTCGACCTTCCTCCTGCTCTTTCCCTCGACCTTCCTCCTGCTCTTTCCCTCGACCTTCCTCCTGCTCTTTCCCTCAACCTTCCTCCTCTCAAGAGCACCTTGACCGTTCACTCACTCTGTCCTACCCTGCTCTGTCTTTTGCCTCTTCGCACCCCTCAGACACTTGTTGTCATCGGTTCTCTGGCCGAGCACGTGGGCCTCCTTCGGCGCTCGTCAATCATCAGCATCGATGATACAGCTGGCACTGACTCCCCGGCCAACATTATTGTCGACTTCGACGTGGACTCCAGTTATGGCGGCCTGTCGAGTGCCGACGAGGTAGAGCTGCTGTCGGTCAGCCGGGTGGTTCCGGACGAGGAGCCTGATGTCGGGTCGATTGGCCATGCGCTCATGGCCTCTTCGACGTCTGGCGGGGAAGCCGATGCCCCGGAGCCCATGCTGGTGCTGCTGGATGACGGCTCGCACGCCGGATCGGACAATAACCCCTCGGCTCCAGGCGGCCGGGTTGTGGACCACCCATACTCGCGGTCGGACCAGTCTTCCGATGAGTCGGGCGATTTCATCGACAGCTCTGATGCCAGTGACTCTGAGGCGGAGTCATTCATCAGCCCTGCCATTGGCATCCCGCTGTCGCAATTGGACGGCCCGGCGGCCGACGTTGCCGGTGATGGCGCCTCCCTCCTGGTGATGGAGACCATCCCCGGGTATGCGGTGGCGGTTGGTGGCCTGGGCACCGCGTCTGACGGATCGTGCGGCACCCACAACAGCGACAGTGGCGGCAGCAGCAGCAGCAGCAGCAGCGGCACCAGTGATGGTGATGAGGATGACAGCGATTCCGGCTCCGGCAGCGAGTATGACTCCTATGATTCCTATGATTCGGATGCCTCGTCCAGCGGGTCGGATTTCGATGACGATGACGACAACTACACCCAGCAGCTCCGAGCCACTGTGCTTTTGACGCCGGCCCTGGCTTCCGGATCGTCCTTCCTGCCGGAGGCCGGCGGCGCTGGCAGCTATGGGAGTTTCTCTCGGCCCGGAAGCCGGCCGAATGGGCCGCGCGGCCTTTCGGTATCGGCGGCCATCGGGGCCAAGTCCCTTGGCAGCCCGCTCCTATCGCCGGATCCCTTTGCCTCCTTCCCGGTGGACTTGGTCGGCGGGGGGGTCGGCGCTGGGGCGGATTTGGCCCGCTCCCCCAGCTTCACATATGTTGCTCCGTCGGGTGGCGTGACGCACGCCACCGCGGCGGATCTCTTCAACATTGTCCGATCCACATCGGCCGGAGCCGGGGCCGGGGGCTTCGCCTCGTCGCTGCTTCTGGCCACCGAGCCGCTTCACATGCAGGCCACTTCGCTGCCCCCGGCGGCCGGGGGTCTGGCCGGCCGGCGCAAGTCCATCTCGGCGCCGGTGTCGCCCAAGCGCATGGCGGCGGCCCTGCGTGGCCTGTCTACCACGGCGCTGGACCTGCCGCCACCTCAATCGCTGTCGACGCCACCATCGCCGGTGTCCCGGTCTCGGCGGCCCTCGGTGGTGGCCGGCATTGTGTCGCTTGCGCCGGCGGCGCTCCCCGCCGAGGGGGATGGTGGCCCGCACATTGTGCCGATCAACCCCTCCGAGGGCCCGGTGCTGGCTTCCTTGCCAGCCGCACATTCCTCCACATCCTCTTCCGGTCTCTCCTCCTCGGATATTGAGAGTGACTCCTCCTCCTCGGATGAGGCACCCATGCCGGGACCCGTGCCCGAGCCGGAGGTCCTGGCGGCGGCCGGTCCCCAGCCCTCCTCGATGGCGTCCGCGTCAGTAGTCTCCAAGGAGCCGGCCTCCGAGGCGCCGGTCCCCGAGGCGCCGGTGCCCGGGGTGCCAGCCCCTGCGCCGCCGGTTGCCAACGCCGACAAGCCCAACGACGGGGCCAAGGCCACGCCCAAGCCGAAGGCCGCCCCGAAGTCAAAGGCCCCCCCCAAGCCGAAGGCCGTCCCCAAGCCCAAAGCCACTCCCAAGCCGAAGGCGGCCGCTGCCAAGGGCAAGGCCGCCTCCAAGACCGAGGCCTCCGCGGCTTCGGTGGAGGGTGCTTCCCCTTCGGCGGCGGCCCAGACCGTCGCCTCGACCATTGTTCCTGAGCCGGTGATGGGCCCGAGTGCGGCCACTCGGGCTTCTCCACCTGCCGGTGTGTCGGCCCCGACGCCTGCGACCCTCAAACCCACTTCCAAGGAGGCCGCCGCTCTCAAGGCCGAGACAGCACCCAAGGGGCCCGGTCGTCCGCGGAAGAAGGATGCCCTTGCGCCGCCCCCTCCGGCTCTGGGCATGGTTTCCCGGCGCCCGGGCCGGCCGCCATCGGCCTCCAAGGCCGGCCGGGCCACCGGGCCCGCGGCCGCCCCGGTCGATCTGCCCGCCTCCTCCCGGGCACCCGGATCGACGCCACTTGACACATCTGCCGCTGTCCGTTCACCTCCGCCGCCCATTCAAACCTCCTCGCTTGGCTCCCCATCGTGGACCGGCTCGCCGGTTGGTGGATCATTTTCGCGCCCCGCGTCGCCCGGCGTCCCGGTTGGCGGATCCTTCGAGGCCAGCCTGACCCGGTCCATCCGGCGAGTGCTCTCGATCGACAACATGGCCGAGGCTTTCGGGCTGCTGGCCGTGGCGGTGGACCGGCATATGGCCCTGCTGCACTGGTCGGAGGAGAGTCCCAGCAACAGCCCCCCCGGGCCGGATCCTCTGCTATTGGCTGTGGCCCGAGCCAGCCAGAGCCAGCTCCTGTCACTGCACCAGTTTGTCGACACCCAGCGGCGCCTTGCTCGGCGTGCCGGCTCGCCCGCCAGTGGTGTCCTCTCTCCGGCCGGCGGCCGGTCGGTCGGCGACATTGACAGCGGCGATGAGGACCTCGACATGGAGGACAGCGCGCCCAGCGATGATGAGATTGACATCGATGCCGATGACTTCTCCGAAGCGGAGGTCCCAGTGTCACCGGTGTCGCCGGTCCCGCCGGTCCCGCCGGTCCCGCCAGTCGTGCCGGCCGTGATGGATGTTGCTGCCTCCTCGGTGGCGCGCGCCCCGGCCCGGCCGACTGGGCGTCCTGCCGGTCGGCCGGCCACGCGGCCGACCACCGCCACTCGGTCGACTGCGCGAGCGGTGTCGCCCATTCGGCGTGCTGCCAGCACGGCGGCCAATGCCCGACTGTCTCAGATGGCCGATGACCTGAGTCGCGAGGAGGCCGCCCAAATGGAGGCTGCTCGCAAGCAGGCAGCCGGTTCCCGGTCGCGCAAGGGCAGCCGAGCCCACACGCCGGATCCGACCAGCGCCGCTGGCACTGTCCCGGCCACGGTGGAGACGGCGCCGCGCTCCAGTGCCGGGCGTTCGCTCGCCGCACAGCGCTCGGCGGCCAAGGCGCGGCTGGGGGCCGAGGCTGTCGCGTCGCCCTCGCCCTCGCCGCCGGCGGTGGCTATCTTGGCAGCGCAGGTCGCCCCTCCGGAGGAGCCTGTGGCCCCGGTGCGTCTTCTCCGCCGGCCACTCCGCCGTGCTCGCGGCGAGGCGCCCGCTCCAGCGGTTGATCCACCGGTTGTCGCGGCGCCCGTGGCCGAGGCACCGGCTCCCCGAGCCTCCATCAGCCGCCGAAACGGCACGGCTGATCATGAGCCTCCGGCTCGGTCGCCCTCGGTGCCGCTCAATGAGTGCCCATATGCCGCGGCCACTGGGGCCTACCTTCAGCTGGCGCAGACTCTGGCCCTGTCGGCCTCGGCCCCGGGGTCGGATTCCCTTTCCTCCTCGGGCACCAGCAGCCCTGTTCATCGGTCGGCCTCGGCCCCGTCGCTTGTTGCCGGCAGCATGTATGCCGTCGTCGGGGCGTCGTCATCCTCTTCGGCTGCTGGCGATTATGACAGCGACATCGACATCATGGACTAGCGGCTCGGCACGGCCAACGCCGGCTCCATGTGTTGCTGGGTTCCGCGGGATTGGCCCTGCCCTGCCCTGGGCTGGGCGCCCGCGTGTTTGTGTCTTGTCCGGCACGCGCGCCCGCCCGGCTGTCCGCTTGTCCGCGCGCCCACCCACCCACACGACCACACGCATCACACGCATCACACACGACCACACACACATTGTATCATTATCATTTCGCAGGCCTGCGTGTTTTCTGCGCTGCCTCTCCCCTTCTTCTCTTTTCCCGCGCGGTGTGCATCCCAGCACTGCCGGCGGGCCTCTGTCCTTGAGTTCTCTCTCTCTCTCTCTCTCCCTCTTCCTCCCTTCGGGGCGCACCCAGCGGCTGGTACCTTCCGCAAGAAGGCGTGTCTTGCTTCCTCCTCCTCGCCTCCCCCTCTGTCCATCGACGCCAAGTCTCTTCCACCTTGCATTGGATTGCTCCACGTGCCCCACGTGCCCTCGACATTGTATATTTTCTCCCCGCTCCTTTTGTCTTCAAGCTTGGCTGGTCCGGCTTCGGCTTTTCCATCTCCTCCTCCCTCCTGTTGTCTGCCGTCTCTCGCCGCCCTGCGTCCTTGTGCGTACAGCCCGAGACTGCCTCGCTCACTGGCCTGACATGCCATGCGTGTGTATGTGTGTGTGTCTCTCTCTCTCTCTCTGCCCCCCTCCCTCCCTCCCTCCCCCCCTCTCTCTCTCTGTGTGGATGAGCATCCCGCACTTGTTTGCACAATATATACCCATAGATTCCATGTTCGGTACCTCCCTCCTTTCCCTCCTCTCTTTCTGTCACCGAGATCCGGCCACGAATTCGTCGGCTTTCACATTGCTCGCCTGGTGTGAGACCATCCCGAGGCCCAGGTGGGAAGCAAGGTGCCCTTCCTCAAGCCCCTCGACCGGGGGCAATGGGAGGTGCCCAAGCCAAGAGATGGATGGTCATGCTGTTTTCCCTGGGTGGAAGCATGCCGCTCGGCGATGATCTTTCGGACGTCCATATATGTGGCCGTTGTGGGTAGCTGGATCATGTCAGCCAGTTCTATCGGTTTCGCACGGGGGAGGGCGCGCCTTCGTGCCTTCGCTAGAGCCTGCCCAGACGGCCCAATCGCTCAAAGCCACCGGACAGAATGTCTGGCTCCTTTCGGAAATGTCTTCCCAAGACCACTTCCATGGGGTGTGCCATCCTTCGCTTCTTCGGAAGCGCGAATGTGCCTGGCGTCTTTGCGTAGAAAGGAACCGAGGATACTGGAGATTGGTGTGTGTGTGTGTGTGTGGATGGGTGGG